ATGATGTTAAACCCGGTGTTCGACTGGTTGTTGTTGAGGTAGATATTCGTGCATAATTTACAAATAAAGAAATGTTTATCGTTCGTGGACATATGATACAATGAGTCCGTAGGAAGGGCGGAAAATTGGGATTCGGCATTGTAATTGAATGGTATGAAAATGGTTCGGATAGAAGACAAACATTTTTAACAATTATATGTGAAAGAAGTGGCACATATCAACCAAAGATTAGGAATTTGAAACGAGATGACACTGGATCAAGGAAATGTGAGTGTCCATTTAAATTTCACGGATACCGTATGGCGGATGAGATGTCGAAATTTAATGTGATTTCTGGTATACATAATCATGCCTTGCATAACAAGCTAGTCAGTCATCCCATTGTATGTCATATTGTGTCGAAGGAAAGGGGACTTGTTTCGGACATGACATTAAATATGGTGGCACCAAGAAAACATACTCACATCTTTGAAACGGAAAAGACCTTTAAATGTTTCAAATATTAAGCAAATGTACAATGTGTGTGTTTGAGACGAAAAAGTCGTAAAAGGACTAAGATCTAAGATGCATCAACTCTTTAAGCTTTTGGATGATAACCACTATGTTTTGAGGTACAAAGCTTGTAAGGATAAAGTCACCATTCAAGATATTTTGGAGTCATCCCGATTTCGTCAAATTGTTCAACACATTTCCCTTTGTGCTTTTAATTGACTCAACATACAAAACAGACAAGTATAAACTTCAACTCCTGGAAATTATTGGTGTTACTTCTATGGAGATGACTTATTCAGTTGCTTTGCATTTTTGGAATCCGAAAAAGAGGACAATGTTACATGGATTTTGGAAATGTGCAATGTTATGTTAAAGGACGAAAAAAACATGCCATGAGTCATAATCATTGATCCCGACACCGCACTGATGAATTCGGTTGCAACGGTGTTTCATACATCGTCTACATTATACTGTAAGTATCACATAACCAAAAGTGTGAGAAGTCGAGTAAAACATGTGGTTTGTATGAAACAAGTCAAACATGAAGGTGGAAAACTTGTCAAACTTGGTGTGGTGACGGAAACTATAATGAATGCATGAAATTCTATAATAAATTCTTCTATAAAATAATCATATGTCAACTATGTTCTAAAGTTGAGAAGTGTGTGTTCGATATATCTAGATTTGATGAAATATATTGTGGGCACTATTATGCATCGGGTAAAAGAGAATATTGTTTGTGCATGGACCATTCAGGTTAAAACTTTGGAAATACAACAACTAACAAAGTTGAATATGCACATGCTATACTGAGAAAGTGGTTGGGAAACAGTAATATATTTTTGTCGAAATTGGGACGTTGTGGACCAAATTTTGAGATATTTACGTCTTTGGGTTTTAGCATTACTGTTTTAAAACATTGCTTCAAAGACGACATCCTTTATTCAAAATTGGTTGGCAACGTATCTCGGAGCGGATAAAAGAGGTTCAAATAGCTCAAAGTGTGGATGTACAGTTAGGAAGACTTATGGTGTTCCATGTGGTTATTTAATTTCAAAGAAGTTAAATCTTGAAAAACTAATTCGTATAGATGAAGTTTGCACTCGTTGGGCAAGGCTCTATTTTGATGATGATGGTGTGATGAAGGATGATAAATCAAACATATCTATCATGACTAAAAGGAAAGTGATCCAAGAGAGATTCATGAAAGCTGATAACATCATGAAATTTCACATCAAATAACAACTGAGAAAGATTTCCTATCCAGAAACAACAGATTTAAAACCACCATTGGAGTTGGTTAAAACAAAGTATGCACCTAAAAATTTAAAACCGAAACTGACAACTCTCTGAGATGGTCTCGTTCATACTTTGAACATGTTGACTCACATTTTCTTGATTCTCCTACTCCAAAATTCCAAAAAAGTGTTTTCAAGGGTGATAGCATTAGCAAACCATCTCCTCTATCGCCCGTTACCAAAAATCAAATTCATTGAAGAGATGTCGCTTTTTATGCACAAATACATCGAGCAAATTCTAAATGTGGTTTTTGAGTTGTTTTGTGTTTACTCGGTAAATGAGAATATGACCACCAACTTTTCTGCCGTCATATTATACAAGAGATGACAACACATAGGAGATCATACACAAAGTTATACGGGAACAAAGCAAATTACGATACAATTCTCAATGTTTTTGTTCCTTGTCTTAGTGGTTCGGCTCCGTTTGACAAATGGATGAGCTTCCCAAAAATGGAACATCTTATAGAAATTGCTTATGATATGGTGTGCATTGATTTACACAATATGGTTTCTCGAAACATTATTTCCACTTCGGAGTAAGCCACCTCAAAATCCACCTGAACGCATCAGGTATGTTGGTTGGGTATCAAAAATAAGTACTGGAGTAGACGCACATTTCACACAAGAAGATGTTGAAACATGGTCTGATCACTTTCTTGAAAGGATGAAAGAGTTCACCAAGTTAAGTGACATAGAACGAGAAGCAAATAAAGAAAGGTCGAAGAAAGAGCCACTAATAAATTTAGCTAGTGACATATGTTTTGATGCGTTTTAGTTGTAATCTAAAAATGTAACATGTTTTTTGTAAGTAATGCACTGCATAATGTTATAAAATTGGGTAGTATTTTTTGGACAATTTTTGTTTTAGAAATTCTGCTCTGCATAATCAATTGGTTATGTTTTACATAATTTTTGTGTGGTTTCAGAGATACATTTCCTAACATACCTTCTAATTATTAAAATAAAATAAAATATGAGATTATCCGGATATGCATCTCCGAATAGACCCTTATTTTTTGAAAGAAAAAAAAGGCAGATCTGGATATGTATCTACGAAGTATTTCATGCAGATATTATCATGTTTGTAAAGTCCTTATTACTCTACAACTTTTATAAATAGGGTCTCTCATTTCATTTTCTTTACATAAACCAGAATGACTACATATCCTCGTCTTGCATTTGTGCATTCCAATGGCATAAAATCCTCACTTCAATTTCAGATCTTCGAGGACATACTTCTCATCGATCTAACAACCAAATTGAATATTCTCTTGCGATATTCAAAAAATCGGAGAGACGTCAAGCTTGAGTATCGTTCCCCCTCGATTGACAACGAAGGAAAGATATGGTTCACCATGCTTGAACTAAAGACGGGTGATGATTTGAAGGTTATGTGTAATACCTTTTAATGCTACTCAACAAAGAATATGATTGAAGTGGATGCGATGATTTAAAGATCAGTCGAAGATATTATAAGAATCTTGCCACGTCCTGAACCACTTGTTTTTAATGACATGTAGTGTTCCATTTATGTAATGTTTATTTTGATGTTAACTTGCGTTGGTTATTCATTCTGCTATTGTTTTTGCCTTCTTTTGTTTTGAACTAACATAGTATATTCTTGAGATACATCTTCGAAAAACTCATAAACTAAAGAACTAAAAGGGGTTACGAAGATGCATCTCCAAATAAATCTTTTGTGTATGCGGAGATGTATCTCTAGATTAAATTTTAAAAAAATAAAAAATTTCTCACCATTTTTATCTTAATTGTATGTAGAGAAGATATATTTAGAAACGCAACTCCAAACGTTAAAGAAATTTTAGTTTTTCCACATTAATAAGGGAGAATTCCTAAAAGTGAAAAGAAGGTTCCCTTAAAATGAAACGGCAAGGCCATGTGTTACGTCATCTTATGCGTTTGAGTGAAAATTACAACCCGTTTCATTTTCTTTCAATAGGTCACTTGTTTTCATTGGTCTGCTCATGAATTGAATTAGGACAACATTAACTTCCTATAATGTACCCTTATCATAGAAACTCTTAGATTAAGATTACTTCATTTATTTCTTATTGCATCGTGTCCTCGTCAACATCATTATTAAAAAAAAATTCTTCTATAAGTATCAAATTCGTCAACATCATTATAAAAAAAAATTCTTCTATAAGAATCAAATGAGACATCTCGATAACTATAACAAAACCTAACTTAACTTTAACAGAAACTTGCTTAAACATATTTTTCAACATCAGATTTAAAAACATCTACATGAGCATTCCAACCAACAACATCAAATTCCTTGTATATTGGATCGACAAAAACCGAGTACACCAAACAAGAAGCCTTTACACACATTAGAATCAAGTCTAGATCCTCTTCAGTGAAATATTAATAAAAATTTTAAAAAATATTATCCATTTTCATTTTTTATAAAAAATTATAAATATGTAAAATTAATATAACAAATATTTAATTAAAACTTTTAAAATTTATTAATTACTAATTTGATTCAAAAGCATAAAGGTTGAATGTATTTATATTTAAGATTATCACAACAAAAAAAGTAGAATTAAAAATAAGATTAAAACGTAGCCTACCCATTTGACATAAGGAGAGACCGAGTAAAAGCATTTGACAACTCAACAAAATGTTTTTTTTCTCTCTATTATTTTTGCTGGAAAAAGGCCATGGAAAATTTAATTTAACTTTCCAACAAATTGAAATCACAAAGCCAGTAATAAATGTGACTAAGAACTTGATGCATGTTTGCTTCTATTATAATGAAATCCCATGTTAACATTAACACAACCAACCGGATAAGTCGCACAAAATAAACCCGTCAAACAAGAGAGTTGGTACATCAAAAGTGTTTGTTTCTCCACAGTCTTCTGACCTGACCATCCATCCATATCAGCTGAACTTGACTACCCACTAAAACTCTGTACAAAATGCAAAAATGAGAAAAGAATGAAGAATTGATTGCTCGGGACTTCAACAGAAATCACATACCCCAATCATCATTCTCCTCCCCCCATATTATATCATTCATTCACACCATAAACAAAAGCCAAGAATGATTTGCCGCTTGACATATATATTGCCAAGAATGTTCACTGATAACCAAGGTAAGGTATTCATTCACCAAATATATATCACTAGGATACAAAACCAACCTCAGCATCTATCTTCCCCTTGCAGGGGAGGGGTCTACTGAATAGCAAGACGCCTCTGTGATGCCTCGTTCGTGGAGATGCTTCCGCGTAGTTGCCCTGAACAGTCCCCTTCATCCACTCTTTCACCTTGATATCTTGAAGATTGCATACCATTGTTGTTATTATGATAGGAGACACCACTGTTTTCATTCGATCCTCTTGCATCTTGTCGCATGTTGGGAGAATTCCAGGTTTCCGCAGAGTCTGAAGGCAAGGGTTCTGAACCAGATGAACTAATTGACTGTGATGACAGGACTGGACCTGAGCCATTATCCTTTCCTGAGTTGTTTGAGCCTTCGCCATCAGTTTTCTTTGCAAATCGTCCTCCTGTGCCTCTTGCTCTTCTCATAGCATGCTGATGTCTAGATTCGTGAAGATATGGCTGCAAATAATAGATGTCAGCATAACCTTAGTTACTAGTAAAACCATGTTCTGTGTTATTTGAAACATTTTCTTGACACATGCAAGTAAAAAACTGGTGAAAATAAGCAACTTAGCTTTATTTTCCTTTATCATTCTTATATGAAGCTGACCATATAATAGCCAAATTGGAGTGGAATCCACAAACATTGATGTAGTAAAATAATTTTAGAAACCTAATTCAAAATACCAGGTTGATTGACACTTGTACACGAATATAATTTCCACTACCTGCATCTGAGCTTATTTTTCTACAGCCTAATTCTGGCAGACAAGGATAAAATCCTAACTTCCTAGGGCCTCCAACAGCAGATCCTTCTAAACAATAAATTAGATGTTGTTGCTTGTTTAAGAAGTAGTGATTGCTGTTCATGAAGGTATTGACATAATTCTAATGGAATAGAGAGAGAACTGACACTGACTTTTGTCGTTGACAATTCAGCACAATAATGAATAAAACAGATATCGTTTCTTGTTTCTCTTCATAGACAACACCGCATAGATCACACACAAAGACTTCTTAATGCATGCACACAATATATATTTAAAAAAAAAAAACTCAGATTAAAGACTAAGAAACCATCAGATGGCATCGTGTAAAAGGTGGAGAGAAGTCTTCCTCCATATAAAAAGATAAATGGGCCAAAGGAAAGAAAAATATTATAAAGAAGCATTGGAGTTTGCCTCTTGCGAATTTGTACCTTTCTAGATTTTATGAGCTTCCTTTCAAGCTCTGCTTTAGCACGAGCTTGTCTTCGCCTCAGAATTCCTTGGTATTGTTTGGCATTCACATAAACAGGTTCCTGAGCCATCTCGAGGGGCAAAGGCATTCTGGGATGAGGCATTCCTATAAAAGGATGATATGCCTAAAGGTAAAAAAAAAGTGGTTAGTTATCACGTTATTATCCTAATATTGAAATTACTTTAATCAAGACAGTAGAACAACACAATAAGAACCTTTAATCAAGTAACATATTAATGTCACGTACCAACTGCTGGTGACCATAAGCTGCCATCATGCCTCCATAATACGGATCCTGATAAGGATTTGTAGCACATGCCTGCATCAAAAGAATTTAAAAAATACTATTGAGTCTCATCCAGTCCAAATGCATGCAACTACAGGTTATATAATAACATATTTTACATAAAATTATAGCACGAATCAGCACAGATTTATGCTCCAGAACAAAATTACTGCTTTTGATATTTGCACAGAATGTTTATCTTAACAAATTGATAGCAAGTTGTCAAAAAAAGCAATAAAGCTTACGCAGAGACTTACAATTGAATGACCAACAAGCTCCATCGGAGGAGTCTGTGTGAGGCCCTCTTCGGGAACAGTAATAAGTGCGGATGATGCAGTGTGCTGCATTCCTTGTTGTTCTTGCCCATAGTTTCCTACCAAGAAAAGAAAATACTGTATTTCAGTACCTCTAAGTCTAAAATATTTGATGGACTGAAAATTTTTCTTTTATTTTAGTTTTAAAGTGTCAATCTGTTTATTTCCCCCCTATATAATTGTTTATAAATAGTTACTCCTTAGCAGAATATATGATATTCTAGAGCACCTGATTGATTAGGAGCAGCAGGCTGCAAATCCTTAGCGGCATCATCATCTTCCTCATTCATCCCACTATTGGACCTAGACTGGCCTTCCTCATTGGATTCTGAATCACCATTGGCACAGTCAAGAGAAGATGAATTGGCACCAGACATTGTTTGAACTACAGGATTGTATCCAACACCACGCCACCAAGGTTCAGAGTAAACACCACCAACACCACCAGCCTGTAAGGAATGAGGATCCGACCTCACTTGATTTGTAGTTTCAGACTTGGGTTGCATATCCTCAGATCCCTACACAAAATTACAACTACAGTTTATATACAAATCTTATTCCTTGTGCTAAAAGAAAGCTAACTGATCACACTCACGAGGGTATATACTAAATCAACGAATCCACATTTGTCGGTGAAATTGATTGTGATCATAGTAAAAAGAAACAAACAAATATTCTGATCCAACCAAAAACTACAAAATACATTCGAATCGTGACTAACTCTTGACACAACATCTCTCGACTACTAAATACAGCTATAGATATACATACACAAGAGAAACAAAAACTGTAACACTATGCTACAAATACTTAAGTCTTATTTGGTCAAACAGAACCACATGAAACCTTAGGACATACCAGCATATGCAGTCGAGCCTTCACACATCACATCCATACATCACTAACTGTTAAAGCTCTGTTTAACAGAATTTCAACAAATTCTTACTTAAATACCCAATTCAACCCATTTACCCACATTAAAAATCAGCCTTGGCTCATAAAAAAAATCCCCTCCCCCTAATGAAAAAAAACAATCTTTTCGTGATTTCAAACAAGAAACCCCATGCAGTCACAGAATTGCTCAACCCAGACTCAGAAAATCAAAAGGAACCCAAAATTCTGCACGAAAAATAACAAACCTAAAAACCCTAATCCTTAACAAGCCTAAGAAGGAAATGAATCACGCAATAAAAAATCCACCAAATTGATCAAGAGAAAAATGGAAGCTAAATCGAAGCATGCACTAACCTGAGGACGAACAAAAAAACCCTAGATTTTGAGTCTTTTGATTGTGATTGAAAATTCAAAGAGGCTAATCCGATTCCTCTCCCTCTCCCTCTCCCTCTCTCTCTCTCTTTCACACGCACACAGAAACACACTTCTCTGAATTTAGCATCAGAAATTAATAACGCCACCAATAATAATAGAGAAAATTAAAATTTAAAATAAATTAAAATTTAAAATAAATTAAAAATGTTTTTAACACTCACTCAAAGTCTTTGGTCATTGTAAGTTCTGATTAATAACGCCACCAGTAACTAAGATAATGATGACGTCACCTTTATGTGGGTCCAACAATTTTTAAGGCATGGACACGTGTGTAGCCGAGGGCGTGTGAATGAAGAATGGTGGGTGAGGTTATCATGGTCTTTTTTCTTGGAACCAAACAAAAGAAAAATTTGTGACCCACGTGACACGCATTTGACTAGTTGAAATTTGACGGAACACGTGGCTTTTATGTGGGGTCCATGTCAGACTAGCGTCGACAGCAACTCTATCCACGTATCCTCCGTTTTGCCTTTTCTTTTATAAACGTCCTTCTTTTTTTTTTATTAATTACGATTTTATGATTTATTATTAGTAAGTACTACTCTCTGCATGTTTTAGATATTTTATACTAATTAAAAATTTTAATTATTAATTTATAAAAAAGATAAATTATATATTATTTTATTTTATATTATAAGCAAATTTTATCTTTTAGATATATTGAATAACTAATGTATTTGATAATTATTCAATGTATTTAAAAAGTAAAATTTATTTATAATATAGGACGGAGAAAGTATGACTTTACAGTAACATTCTTTATAATTACACAAGAGAGGAAAATTAAAAGAGTTAAAAAAACAAATAAGGATAAAAACTTAAGGGTATATTGGAAAAAATGTTATTTATATTGTATTGAGAATGTAAGGTGACTTATAATTTGGGATAAATTTTTTTGGGAAAGTGACTTATAATTTGGGATAAACTTTTTTGGGAAAATGACTTATAATTTGGGACAGAGGGGGTAGTAGCTTGTAATTAAAGATTAATTTTAGAAGAGAAATTTGTTTTTTTAACGTAAAATATCATTTTCGTTCCTTAACTTTACCTCGAGATCCATTTTGTTTCCTTAACTTTTAAAATGTTCAAATTGATCTCTTAAGCATTAAAAACAGAGCATGTTTGTCCTTCCGTCTGTTTCCGTTAGTGATGGTTCAGAAAGATTGTCCATGTTACTTAGTTGATGGCTTACGTAACTATAACATGCTATATTTCCTCATCCTAGTGTGAAAAAGTCATTTTCAGAAAGTGAAGTGAAGTGAATGTGAAATCCATCATTTTCTTTGTGTTCCTGAAAATGAGATCGAAGGTTGAGCGAACGTTTGAAAGCATCGTTGTAAATAGGTTAAAAATTTGATGTTTTGTATCAGTTATGATAGTGGTAGAAATTTGGGTTTTTAATATTTTCATAGATTATCATGTTTTCGTTCAGATAGTGCTACGAATTAGGGATTTTTATGTTTTCAATATGAGAATGGTACTTTTAGGGCTTTGCATGTTTTCGTTCTTGTAGTGATTCAAATCTCTATTTTTTTATAACTTTAGGGCATCACAGCAGTTTGCTTATTAATCTCGATTTTGAACTGGCTAGGTGAAATGGACGAGTTTCTAGTACTAAAAATTCATCATAGTGGTGAATTCATCGATGGTGATCTTATAGTGTATGAAGGAGGGAAAGTTGATGAGTTTAAAGTAGATGTTGACAAATGGAGTTACATTGAGTTGGTAGGTGAATTGAAGGAGTTAGGTTATAGGGATTTTGAGAAAATCATTACAATGACCCGATATTTAGGACGAATGCATCAATTGATGATGTAGGAGCATTAGAAATAGTTGATCTTTGCAGGGTTCACCTAGGTGTAGATATTTTATATTCAACACACGCTTGATCAGCTTGATTATTATTATGGGCCTATAGAAGCAGAAGTAGAAAATATTGTCAATGTCAATGAGGAATTTGATGTAGTTAAAGAAGTGCTTTCTAAATTGTATGAAGAAGTAGTCAATGGGAAAGATAAGTTCAATGAAACTGAGTTGGAGGCTCACAAGGTTGTATTAGAAGCTGAAAATGTTGGTATGAGGCCGATAAGGTTGTGTTGTAGGCTGAAAATTTTGGTATGGGGGCTGATAAGGTTGTGTTGGAGGCTGAAAATACTGGTATGGAAAGTGGTGAGGTGGATGATGCTTTAACTAGTGGTGATGGTGAGGATGAGTTGTACAGGTATGATAGTGCTCTAGAGGTAGCTTTTGATGATTCTTCTGATGGGTATGATGATATAGATGAAGATGACTTGGCAAATTTACTTGAACATGAACAACATGAAGAGGGAGATGATGGACAATCCAAAAAACAAACAAAAAATAGGAAGAAAACAATGGTGAATTTAAAGGGAGTGATAATAAAAGTGAAGATCTAGTGAGTGGGTATGATAATGATGATAGTTGTGGTGTTCAAAAAAAGGCTCACCCTATGTTTAAGATGTAAAAGGACGTGGTTTATTTCAAATGGGAGATATGAGTGTACTTTAGTTCAAGAGATGATTTCAATTAGGCAATAACATCATATGATGTCCATAGTGGTAGAAATTGTAAGTTCAGTAAAAATGACAAGGTAAGGGTGAGGGTAAAATGTAAGGATGGATGTGATTGAGAAGCTTATTGTGGCAAATTGTCAAATAAAGAATCTTGGCAATTAAGGAATGCGAATGATCTACATAGTTGTAGCAGGGATTATAAAGGATATAAAGGCAAAGGCACAAGAGAAATGGAATGTAGGTGTGAACAAAACTAAGGCAATAAGAGCAAGGTTTAAATCTAGAGACATGGTTGATGAATCGTTCTTAGGGGATTACACCATAATATATGATTATTGTCATGAGTTGTTAAGAGCAAACTCAAAATTAACAGTGAAGCTTGGTGTTGAACCTCTCAATAAGGCTTAGATGATCAAAGACCATATTTAAAAAGGTTGTATATATGTTTTGCAACATGTAAGGAAAACTTCGAGTTTTCTAGGCATGTCATATGACTTGATGGTTGTTTTCTCAAGGGGTTATGTGGAGGGAAAAATATGGCTGATATATGTAGGGATCCATATGATCAAATGCCACCTATAACATTTGCAGTGGTGGAAGGGGAAAATAGGGAAATTTGGACATGGTTTTTGGAGTTATTGATTGATGACATTAGAGGAAAAAATGAATGTTTCACATACACATTCATTTCAGATCAACAAAAGGTATGTGAACATTATTAGATTGAATTCATTGATTTTTGTGAAGATGGTTTTCTCTTATGTTTTGTATTGATGTTGTTTGCTGTGTTGTATGGTTTACTACCATCCATGGATGAACTTTTGCCTAATGTTGAGCAAAGATTCTGTTTCAGGAACTTGTACAACAATTTCAAAAATAAATATCCTGGGAAGATGTTGAAGGAAATAATTTGGAAAGTTGTTAAATCAACATATGCACAAGCTTAGAAAATAGATATGAAGGGGATGTGGTTGATCAATGAAGAAACCTATCTCCATATGATGAAGACACCTCCAATATTTTATAGTAGATATTATTTTAGGGGAACTAACAAATGTGATGATGTACTCATTAACATGTCAGAATCTTTCAACAGTGTTATTCTTAAGTCAATGTCCAAACCATTAGTGATCAAGGTGGAAGAGATCATAACATATTGTATGGAAAGATGGGCAACAAATAGGACGAGGTTTCAAAATCTTCTTGATCATGGTGTCTTGCCTAATATAAGAAGGAAGGTTGCTAAAACTAGTAGTTATGCCAAATTATGGATTGTGAGGTATGTCTCTTATGCTTTGTATTATGTATGTTATTATCTAATGAGTTGGTTTTTGTTATGTCTGATAAACAGTTATCTCTATATGTCTGTTATTGTAGGATGTCTGTTGAACACATATTTGAGATTAGGCATGTTGAAAATCTTGCAGATATATTTTATGTGAATTTGAAAGAAAGGTTATGCTCTTGTAGAAGGTGGGAACTAACTAGACTGCCTTGTGTTCATGCATTGTCATGTATGAAAAGTAAGAACTTTAAAATTGAATATTACATCCCTGATTATTATAGGAAGTCAATGTACATAAATGCCTATGCACCTATGATTTATCCTATAAATAGATTAAATCTCTGAGTGAGAACAGAAT